GTGTTTGGGTGTAGATGGGATACCTCAATCATCTCCCCTCTCTACAGGCCCAGGGAATGTCTAAGAAGAGTGTTAAGAAAGAATCTAAGAACTGGAGGACAGGGACGAGTGCTATGAAGTGTGGTCATCTGGACATGCCATGGCATGAAATCACAGTGGCCATGTTTACCTTTGGAAGACCTGCACAGGATTGAGGCAGTTAAAAACTCAAGCATGTTTTCAAGGTTGACCATTTAGTAATGGACAACCAATTGGTGTGCTCTGTTGTAGTGAAGACTGTTTCTTCCATTCTTAGCATTCCTTAGTTGCCTGTAGTTCTTTGTGTAGGACTGAGGCCTCTTGAGTTTTTCCCTATTCATGTTAGCATGTCTATTGTTTTCCTTGATCAGGTTATATTTATATATTTAGTATACATACATAAACATATATGTGACACATACATGTATGTAACAACAATTAATGAAAAAAGAGGCCATGGATAAGAAAGCAAGGGTATGTATATGGGAGGGTTTGGAGGGAAGAAAGAGAAGGGACCAAATGATCTAATTATAATCTCAAGAAAATGTTTTCCTAGTGTGGAAGGAGAGGGACTCTGGAGACCTATCTGAGGAGCTACTGAGGGTTGATGGGTGCTGAAGGAGGGACTTTCCTTTGGGCTTAGGTACTTAGAGAAGATTTTTGGGCAAGGTTTTGTAGACTGTGTTCCACTCTCAGATTCACCGGGTTGTTCTTGAGGTTATTACTTAATGTTTTGTTATTAGAATAATCTGGAAATGCTTTAAAGAAGGTATCTGGGAAGATTTGCAACTTTACTCACATAATATCAAAAATCATTCAGATTTGTCAAGCCAAGGAGACTGATAGAATAATTAAAGGTCAATGATAGAAGAGACATAGGGGTAATTCATCTCTGTTTTCAGTCCCCAGATTTATCTCTTTTTTCTTTCATCCCTCCCTCCCTCATTTATCCAGTCCTTTCTTTCTTCCTTCTCTTTCCTTTCCTTCCTTCCTTCCTTGCTGCCTCTTCTTTCTCCCCCACCTCCTTCTTTTTTGTTTGTCTATTTGGTTTTGGGGTAAATATTTCCCCCCTCATGTGGTCACTTTAGAGTTCTGTCTATATGGCCTGTGAAGAAGAATCTACTGAAGGGTCCAAATGTTATCAAAGGGACTCAACTCTGGAATTGGAACATGAACTATGTCCACCAAGCCAACAATGAATTTAGTATGGACTACATTTGGAAAGTGCAGTGCCATTTTGATCAGTCTTCTCAGTAGCCCTGTTTTCTGTATTTTCCAAGGCATCCTGTACTAGGAGAAACAGTCAGTGGTTGTGAGGTGGTGGAAAGCATAAGAATTGCTGCAATTAAACTTTTCTAGTGAACTTGCTCCAGGGTTCTGCCCTTCATACTGTTTCATCAACTCAACTTTTCTCTATTCCTTGCAACTTTGGCTTCTGTCATTCCTTTATCCACTTTTTCACTGAGACCCAGTTATATATGAGAAGTTAGAAAGTACAAATAAGAAACAAAAATAACGCTTAATGAAAATAGATGGTTTTGTATACTGTCTTGGATTATTTACAATGCGGTTTTACTTGAGTTTTCAATTTAAAACCAATAGCCAAAGCACGATGATTCACGGGGATAGAGAAATAACTGGAATAAACTTAACTCACCACAAACTTCCTGCATGCAAAGACATTATACTCAATTACTATTTCTCTCCATTCATGGTTAAACAAAGCTTTATAGTAAATCAAAATGAGTAAGTACTATGGTTTAGATGAGGAAAGTTGTTCAGCCTGTTCACTCTCCTTACTCAGCTCAGCTGTGTAAACTCGGATAGTCTTTTGTACTCTATATCTTGGAATTGTCAATGATTGTGAACTTGCTTAGGAAAAGGAAAAATCATGGTTGGACTTGCTGGTAGGTTGCAAATATGTAGGTTGAAGTGCATCCTTCACAATGAAGAAATCAGGAACCAAATATTAGGTATTACTGAAGCATCTAGTCTCTCTCAGAAGTCCCAAAGTAATCATGTTGGGTATTTCTGATACAAATACTGACTAATGAGTAACTCCAAAATGTTCGCTCAAGAATTTCAAGAGGAAGCTGCAGAAATCATTGGGTGTGCTTTCAAGACCGTGGGTCTCACCATGTAGAAGTTGCCTTAGGAAAATTTAAACTGTGACTGCATAGATGTTTGTTTCCAAGAGGTTCTGACATCACTGACATAAACTACAGCCTTAAAGTTAAATAAGTTTTAAAAGTGCCTGTGGTGATTTGAATATGAAGCAAAGATGGGAACTACTGACCTGAAATAAGGCAGTGAGCTAGAAAGAGTGTTAAGCCTTGTTTGAGCCATGAACCAGGAGTGCCCTCAGCTTTCAAGTAGGTACCTACTGAGAATGTATAATTTCTATTCTCAACCTCACACTTACAGAATAAAACTATGCACTTGAAGAAGATTCCCTGGGTGGCTCCTATGCACTTTAAATTTTGAGAAGCATTAAGGCATCTAGCCCTGTAGGAATACTTGAATAGTTGGATTAAAGCTGTAGTTGAAAGGCATTCCTAGCCCTAACCCCGCTACTTAACCAAGCCATTTTCTATCTTGATTTTTTACCAGGATGCCTCCCCAAGATAGAGATATTTCTTTATTGCTGTGCATTAAGTTTGATTTCAAAGCCAGAGTGCTTCAACATTCTGAAAATTTTCTAGGCAGGAAGGAAGGTTATTTCACTACAGTTTCCATAAACAATGGTTTTCCACTCCAACTTCATATTTAGCTCTACTTGTGGGACTTTTAAAAAATGTACTGGTCTCACATTAGACCAATTAAATTAAAATTTAGGGTGATGGAGGCCCAATACTAGTATTTTCTAAAACTTTCCAGTGGATTTTAGTGGGAAACTGGTTTTAAGAACTACTATGGATGAACTGATATATCATTGTCTTGTTTAGTATATTATAGAGCAGTTAGTCATTTTGGCTTCCTGGAAGACTGATATCAGTTACTTCAATTAATAAAATATTAACCTGCATTATAAGATAAATTAAATATTTAGAGTATTCAGGTTGATACTAACCTCAATTCACCCCTATTTATAGATGATGGTTGATTGTCTTTTAAGGAAACAAATTAATGGCAAACACATCAAATAGTAATACCCACATAATATTATTTCATTTTATAAAATGCAACACTTTTCATTGGGATTTGGATTTGCCATATCTTTAGACACCACAAGGCAAAAATATCTTGGCTTTGTTTCTTTAAAGTGCATCTTAGATGAATGGCAGAGACCACCATAGGGTGTTCCTTAGCCGAAAGGAATCAGCTGCTATGAAACATGCACAATGTAGATAGAGTCCTATACAATTTCCTGGCTGAGGGTCTGACATTCCATCTCAAGTCAAATGATAAACAAAGGTCACAATTCAGTCCTCAAACAAAAGTTGAAAATGGCTAGGGAATCAAATGACTAAGTGAAGTACTTGGACATATAACTTAACTGAAGAAAAAGTCATGTGCCTTGCACAAGATAAGCAAGCCTAACTCTAAATGATGCCAAATAAAATTTTAATTGCAAAATGTATAAAATGGAAGGCATAATGGTAAAAGTTTCTTTCAAAAACATTTTATTCAACTTTGAAAAGAAGAACCTTAAAGAATTTGGCTATTCTTAAGTAAGACCCTTTTTGGCTTCTTGAGTTTCCTGTACACCAAGAAATAGTTTTTCTTTAAATGCCAGTTGGAAAATGTGAGCAAGACATTACTATCATTCCATTTGGGGTATTCAACTTCTAAGAAAAATATACATGTATAAAATCAAACCCTTTCAAATTCCTGTGCTCTACAGATAGCAAAGCTCCATTCAGAGTACTGGGAGACATCCTTAACCCTGACCTTCTAGCATCATCATGGGAGTTTGAATATTAGTGACTTCATGCTTAATTTATGCAATTCATAATATCAACATGAAATCCGACAGACATCAGGCTATACTTGATCTTTAAAAAAATACTTGCTTCTTTTCCTTTAAGCTTAGAGTCTTTCTTAAGTTAAACAAGAATCTTTATACTCTATGCAGAAAATCTGTAGTAATACATTGTATCTAAATGGGAATATGCCATATATTTATGATTACGTGCTTAAGAAATGATGAAACATTTAATTGGCAACTATCTTATCATGTGCACATTATTAGATTTTCTCATGACTCTGTTGCCATTTTATCATTTGCATTTCTTACAAGTAAATCATGGGAATTAGCAATAGCCTCTGGCAGGCTTTGGGGCAAAGTAACCATCAGTGCGAAGTGCAGCTCTTGGTTTTACTTGATGGGACACACCTTTAAGCATAGCACTCAGCAGGCAGAGGCAGGTGGGTCTCTATGAGTTCAAAGCCAGCCTGGTCAGCATAGTGAATTCTGAGTTCTGGGTGAGGTAGTCGTGCTCAGTAGCGAGACCATGTTAAAAAAGAAAAAAAAAGGAAGGAAGGGGGAGGGGGGGGGAGAGAGAGAGAGAGAGAGAGAGAGAGAGAGAGAGAGAGAGAGAGAGAGAGAGAAAGAAAGAAAGAAAGAATAAAAGCAAAGGGAGGAAAGGAGTTAGCTGTTTTTCCTACTGAATGGTTATATCTAGTGTCACTTTTATAATTTTTAGGCTAAGTAGAACTTTCTACTTCCTTTTACTCATAATATATATTTTATTACAAAATAATGTGTAATCAAACACAGGGGCATGGTTATTGACCATGGGAAGGATGTAGAAAATGGTTTGTGGTAGTTACTGATTACAGACTCCTGTAAGACATTACCTTAAGACCTTGGGTCAAATGCTTCACTGCTCAGGGCAGGAATCCATCTTTAAAATGAGAAGGTTCACTAGGCATATTTAGATATCATCATCAATTCCATAATACTACATGGCTTAAATTGTATTGCTAGTATGAATAGAAAGCAGAATATTTTAATTTTTTTTTGCTTTAAGAATACTTACAGTTGAGGCTGGTGGCCCAGGAGGTCCCATATCACCCTAAAATAGGTGAAAGAAAAGTTGCAATTACCAACAGCACCTTTCTGCACATTATTTAAAGGTTTCTGGGAAGAAGCAATATATACAGATAAATCTTTTTATGGTTTTATTTATTCTTTGAGAATTTCATATGCTGTATTTTGATCATATTCTTCCCCCACACTCCAATTCCTCCCAGATCCACCCCCTATTTCCCTACCACCAAATTCATAATCTGAATGGACATAAAAATAGAATTTTCCTTGAAAAATTTTCTACACAATGAGAGCTTCATTATGTTCCCTTTAGGGCTTATGATATAAAAATCGCCTCGTGTGCCCTTGTGCTTTCTGTGGTAGCAAAACATGTTTTGAAAAACTAAAATAATCTAATTTTCTATTCTTTTGACTACAAATCCAAAATTAGAAAAAAAAAATTATCTTTCCAAATATGGTTACTTGCCAACGGAGCAGCTGGGAAGCGTCATAGAGACAGATAATTTATCTGACAAAGTTAGTATGAGCATCAGCAGAAATAATAAGTGGGTCCCACCCCACCCCACTCCGTGCCTTCCAGCTGCAAAGAATGGTTCCCACCACCTCTCCTAGGCTCTACTGAATGGGCCTCACTTCTGCCTTCAGCGTTCAATGACTTTTCCTCCATCTGTGTATCTTCTAGTGCTAGAATTGCTTTGTTGACCTGTGTGAATGCAGGTTTCCAGGCATGTGTACTGACTATGAAAAAGTCTTTGACAATGCTGGCTGTGGCAGTCGTGGTGTACACTTTAAATCCCAGCACTGGGAAGGCAGGGGTTATCAATGATTTTTAAGGCCAGTCTAATTGACATAGCAAGTTCCAGGCCAGCCAGGGTTCCATGGTGAGACCCTGTTTAAAAACAAAAAGTCATTGAAAAAGTATCCACGAGTTCATGATGTGTCACTTCTGTGTTCTACTGTCTAGGTGCTCTACTCATTTCGTGAGAACTCTGTCATTAGGACTGAGTGTCCTTGCTGTGGTTTTTGTTGCCTTGAACATTATGGAGTCCATGTTCCTGTGTGCCATGGGACTGTCATGTCAAGTATATCTAGGATTTTCTCTTTTTCTCATTAAATTTAGTTATCTCAAGTTTTAAGACATAGCATTGTATATTCATTATTTGGGGGACAGCTGCACTAAAATAACAGTTGTTAAGGAACTAAAAATCAGTCCCCAAGGATTGCTCTGTGAGATCATCTGTAACTCAGAGTTAAATATTTTAAGATGGACAAGGAATTCTGCATCTGATGACCATGGAGAAATAAAATGCAGACATGTACAACTCCCATGGAATCAGAATTGCTTAGTTACCCTACTCAATACAGCCCTTACCTTTAATATTTGTTAGCTCTCACTGAGAGGCCACTGCCAAAACGCTGTTACAAAATGGTACACAAGAAATGGAGCATTTAATCTAAAGCTGAAGTATGAAGTTCGCTTCCTTCCGAAGCCACCTGCTTGATTATTAAGGTGACAGCTTGGTGTTGTTGGCTGAGTTTCCTGACATAGGACACCTTTGCTAATGTGGTGTTGGAACACCTCATGCTGTCGAGTGAAGGTGAGAAACCGGAGGTTTTACACGTGTGTTAACGTCAACTAGTGATGGCACACCCAGTCGCTCACACTAAAGCAACCAAAAAGCTTTCCTCACGCAGAGGCTTTTCACATAAATCATCTCAGGATGTTTGTGCAACTGGACGGGATCTACAAGAAGTCACTCAGTTTTGGGGGGATCTTAAAATAAGGTTGGGACACTCTGGGGGTACATACAGTACCTTCTCTCCTTTTGGACCAGGTGGACCTCGAGGACCCAAGTCACCTTTCAAACCCTGAAAAGAACATAACGAGAATCATTTCTATATAAGAGTCACCAAAAGCTTCAATTACTGACAAATTATTAGTAAGAAAATGAATCATGTTTCCTGAACTCCCAAATCCCATTCTTCCCTTTGTAGTGTGGAGAGAGACAGGCAACTGGCACCAATGTGATAAGCAACATCTGCGCTGCGGTGGCTTCAGATACATTAAACCAGTGCAAGGACTCAATATTGCATATTTGTGCAACTTTGCTTCCTGCTAAAATTACATTAATTCACCATCTGGGGGAACATCATTTAGATCTATATGAGCTTTTAAGTATCCTCTTTGGATTAAATTTGTGGATGTTGTAAATACCTCTGATTTAGCATTGATTTAGTCTTTAAAACGCTTGCCAAAGAATTCATGAGTTACATCAAAAACATGTTCATGTCTCTATCAAGAAATTTAATTATTGGGAGGAGGGCTATAGAAGCTGCGTTCTTTTCCTGTCACTCACCAGGCAGGAACAAAAATGTAGCATACTGCCCATTTGAAAGTATGTTTCAGTTTTCTAATTCCTTTCCTTTTTTGAACTTGGATCTACAAAGCCATCATCAAATGGAGCTACATGCGACATAGAGAGATTGTCAGATAAATATTTTCACAAATCCTTTGGACTCTTGGTTGTTTTAGAGGTTAGTTGGTGAAGGCACATCATTTTTATAGTTGAATGTGTTCACAGTGGAAACAGAAAGCAAGTCGGATGGACATATCCTAACTGGGTGGCAAATAGGAAAGACAACTGCCTTCATTTTTAACACATTAGTTGAGAGAGAAAGGATAATGGAAAATAGAAGCATTCGGGAGTGATATTACACACAGTGTAAGTCAAACCATCTTACTATTACTAGCTGAGGAATCTAGCTATCACTACCCTGGTCTTTTGTAGCGAGTAAATAATGCACAGGTAGGTATTCAATATAGAATCCAAGGGAAAAAATTAGATAAAACCATTTTGTTGCACAGAGAATGTGAAAACCACTTTAGACATTAACAACAACAAAAAAGGATAAAGACCAGAGCTTTCATTTTGCAAATAATTCAATATTGCAATTAAACAAATAAAATAAAAAATAAAAACCCAAACCCCAAACAAAACAAAAACAACCAACTTTGAAATGAATAAATACCTTAACATATTTTAATCATTATTTTAGTGTTAAATAAATATATTTGAAGTGTACTATTCTATTATTTGGAATATCCATCTAACCCTTCCCAAAACAGTAGACACTTGAGAGTAAAACCTGGCAAAAGAACATCTTAACCACTTAGGGGGAGACAACTGCCATTTCTGTGAATGGATTTCTACCATTCATTTATCCAATAAGCCTTTCCCAGGTACCTTGTGGTCACTCACTGTCCTAGACTTTGGACCCACACCGTCTGATGTAGTAGCTGTACATTGGCTGATGTTCTCCTTCCACCCCACTTTTCTCAGTGATGAGGACTGAGCCCAGAGCCTTGCTCATGCTATCAAGTTCTTTACTACTGAGCAGTTCAGATTAGGATAGGTACTATAAGAAAATAATGTTAGATATTTCATTGATACTTCCTTATACTTTTCATAGAAGTGATAAAATTGCCAATAATGGATCAAGTATAGTATATTATCAAAAGTAATTTTGCCTGTTTCTTTTTCCTTTTTCCATGTGTCTAATAGAAAATGTAACATATTTACTTTTGTCTTGAGTTTGTAGCTTTCCCTATATTTCTACACCACTTTGGAGATCAGACCCAAGAGAACAAGAAGGTTACAAAGGTAATCTCCATGACCTAACTTTACTCAGGATCATCTGAGCACTCTTCCTAAGTCTGGACCATGCCCCTTTCCTGTCCTTGGCTTGCTCAACCTGGTTATTCTTTTTTAAAAACTTGCTAAGTTAGATTATAACCTCCCCCATTCTTCTCATCTGTTCTTCATCTCCATACTTTGACATCTTGTTCTTGTCTGGCTTTAGTAAGAATTCTTTTAGATCAGAACTGTGCCATACTTGATGTTTCCTTTTAGTAATTTCCCCCACACAGTGCCCCTTTTATGCTGTTGTCTACAACTCAAACCATGTCCTTGTTGTATCTGGAGATGAGCCTGTCCCTCTTCCCTTATTGCAATGCCTTGAATAAAAAGTTACAGCTGTCTTGAATAAAAAGTCTTCCTGGTGACTTAAAAACTGTTCTTTTCATGTTTATTGCATAATCCTAAATAGTTAGTGCAACTACATAAAGTAGGTATAAGCAATAGTAATTTTGAAGACATGTTCACAATCGTAATGGTAAGAACAGTTAGTAGAGGGTTGGCACTTAACAAAGGTTATTTATGATTTTCAGGACAAGTAAGGATAATGAACAGTGCTTTTTGTTCTGTTTCACACTCAGGTTGACAGATAACATAACAACTGTGCTTTAAGTCATAGAGAATAAGATGCAGTTGAGAAGTACTGTATTCATCAAGTTTCTACAGCTATGGCCGTGGAAGTAGACCCATGAAACTCATGTCCCTTGTGACAAAGTACTGTGATGTTAAAGCTATGGCTTTGTGATAGGCTCTGAAAAGCAGCTCAGTAATGCTTTTTGCAACTACGATTTTTCTCCTCCTGTCATGCTGATGCTGCTATCAATGTTACTGAGTGCCAGAGGGGGGAAAGAAAGACAGTACAAAAGTATAAAACACATTTAGAAATGTGAGCATTAACCTTTAACAGCTGAGCTGTGCCTTCTGGATAGGAGAGATGCTGCAACCAGGAAACCTCAACCATATGGTTGCCTAAACAATGCATAATGACAACATCTATTGACGGTGCAGATAAGGGAAATTTCACAAGGCCTCGTCTCAAGATGAAGAGCTACAGACAATGACTGCAAGAGAGGAAAAATCCTTCTTCGTCCCCTAGGGATGAGCCCACTGATAATTTATCCAATCCTTAAAATGTGGTCAGCTCTAAACACATTTACATAAGAACATCATAAAATGGGCTCAGTAGGTCCTCTGTGTGTGGGGTGTGTGTAAAATGAAGAAGATTGCAGATGAGGTCATCAGCATGAGAGGGAGTGGTGGGGGAGATGTAAGGGTGAAATAGAAATGATGTAAGCACAGTATTCACCTAGGGAAGTTTTTTTAATCTATAAAAACTTTAAATTAAAAAGCATAAAACACTAAATGAAACAGATACTTAGCTTAAGACATGCATGGATATCTATTATTAAGGATTTCAGTAGGGATTCCTTGTACATAGGGATTCCTTGAAGCATGGTAGTTGTGTCTGCATGTAATGTGAAGATGGGGAGTTTTCTCTACAGGAAAAATGAAGGCTGAGGGAGAGTATTATATAAAGCAAGTGGACTGCAGGATTTTTATTGGGAAATATACTGCTCATGTGATATAGCATCTTTAAATATCAGATGGTATAAAATAATATTGTTTACAAATTTAAGCTATTAATTAATTCCTTGTCCCATCTAATGATCAAATCTTATTTTCTAGCAATGGCAGCATCTGCCAGCAGGTGATACCTCTAGTTTTATGATTTCAGGGTTTGTATAATTAGCAGTGCAGCATGCACTGTTATAAGGAAGGAGATTTTGCTGATTATTTTGGAAATGTTGGATATGGTAGTTTTGATCCTGAATGTTTCAAAGATCAAAACGAACGTGTAGAGGAGACTAAACTCAATGACTGAAACCTACTTTTCTGAGATTGTATAGCCACATGAAAACAAATTAGCAAAAGAGGTATCTTTAAAGCTAAATATGTCATATTTCAACATTTTTAATAGAGGATAATTACATAGTTTTTGCTGTATGCTGAGCGCTATTCTAACACTGTGCACATGATAATGTCTTTGATCCTCTCAGGACACCTGTAAGTACTAATAATCTTATCATCCCATGATTAAATAAAGAAACTGAGAGGATACATAGGGTAGTGTGACATGTAGTTACTGGAAGAGCTGGGATTTGAAGTAGACAGCCTGGCTTTAATGCTCACAATAACACATTTATAAGCACTCCCTCTCAAGTTTGTTCTAAGACACTATTATTGAACACATTCCATGCTAGGTCTCAGTCAGAATCACTTAATTATACGTTACAGCAAGATCTTATGTTTTGAAGGGTAAATTGTAGAAATTTTAAAATCTTATAATTTCTATATTGCTTAGTGTATATCAGTTAAACTGCAATGGAAATATGTTTATTAGTACTTTGGCATTTAACCCAAAGTTCACACACACACACACACACACACACACACACACACACACACACACACACACTTGCACATGTGCACACAAATATGCAGAATTTTTTTCATCCCAATGAATAGAGGCTTTTTAACATCTCTTGAGAATCCTCAAAGACACAACATATTCTGCTTTTCTTTCTTTTTTTTGAGATTATGATATAATTACATTTTCTGTTCCTTTTCCTCCCTCCAAACCCTCCCACATACCTCTCCTTGCTTTCCTTTGAATTCATGGCTTTTTTTAAGTTACTGCATGTATATATGCAAAAGCATATAAATAAAGACAATCTCACATGGCAGAGAATTGCCTTGTCCTAAATCCCACAGAACCCAGCTGAGAAAGAATGGACTACAGTGTACTTCCTTCTAAACTAAGAAGGCTAGCTATTTTGTGAGAAAGTTGGCACAGAAAAATATATTTTAGGATACATCACATCAAACTAAATTCTAATATACAATAGCAAAAACCATCAAAACCATGCTGTTTGAATCATTTAGTGGAACCATTGAATCATTACAATTGACTGTAATGTAGAAAGTAGTTTAGAAGGTGGTAAATTGGTGTAATGAATTTTCTCACTCGCATTCTAACTGAATATTCTGGAAGTTATAATCCCTATAGGGACTTAACTTTAGTGAGTTTAAAATCACCTTTAAAATACTGCACAGGCTGGATGGTGGTGGCACATGCCTTTAATCCCAGCACTCGGGAGGCAGAGCCAGGTGGAT